AATAATAAAATTAAATGAGCTCTTTATAATATGCTCAAAGAAATAATTTTGTATGAAAATTTGTATGTTATATATTGGCCTGATTAATGATTCAGGAAATAATTCGGGTTTTCAAAGTGCTTCCAATAATTCAAATTTCAGCTTGTGTCAAAATAAAATCTATAACACAAATCTAAGCAAATTTCCTTATGAACAATGCATTTTAACATTATTCAATCACTGGCAATCACACAGTACTGATTGCTTCAATAAACATTACTGTAACTGTGTTATTTAAAAGACTGTAATGTTTTAATTATTTCCTTAATTAAAACATTACAGTCTTTTCCTCCTTCTAACACCAAAAGAAAACCCAGATAAGAAATATAAAAATATCAGTAAAAATAAATTATATTATTGAATGACACTTTACATTAATTACACTTATGCATATATTATTTTATTTTTATTATAAATTATTTCAAAATCAAAGAAGAGAAGGGGGAGAAACTTTAATATTGACATTTCTAAAATGATATAAACATTAATCATTTAGTATAGTTTGTTATTTCAGGCAAAAAGAATTCACTTTTCTGGATAGCATTTATATTTCCATCTCACTTTCAATGAAACATTAAGAGAATGCATATAATTTAAACACCAGTTTATTTTATTTATCAGACAGATTATGTCAACTCAAAAAAACCTATCAGTAAAATTCGGTAGTAATAATTCTGAATGTTAGGCAACTTGCAAGATTCAACAAAAATTATCAATACTTTTATTATAATGACAATACTACAGTAACATGAACATAAAATTAAACTGCATATAACTATAAAATAAGCCAGCATATAATAATGGTGCATTGGTTTCTAAAACAATGGGCTCGATAAAAAATACATGTATTATGGTAGCTATTCATATTCTTCAGCTTTCCTAATATTCTCACGTTCACTTTACATAACTAAAGTATCTAAAATACAATAAAAATGAAAACAATATTTATGAGAAAATGTTAAAAGCAATCATAAGCATTTGATTGATTGATGACCATATTTTGTCTTCCTGCAAGTCGAATCTTAAAATGATATGCAGTTTGAAAAATGCTTAATCCTTTTATAAAATATTCAAAAAAGGTACTGTTCTGTTATCAGGACCGGGTTCAGAATTGTATTTATGTATGCTTGTATATTTGTATGTTTGTGTGTCTACATATACACATCTATGCACATACTTACGAACACAGGTTCATACATTTCCGATTCTGGTCCCAATAACAGAACAGTACCCCCCAAAAAACTTGAATTACAAACTAGATTAAGATAATGTTTCAACCATACATATTTTGGACAAAACAATGCAAACTCTTATTTTTATACAATTGTTCAAACTATTTAACATAAATTTATTGCTGCAATAAAATAATAAGCAATCTGATCACACATATTATTTTGAAACTGAATGCATAAACTAGACTAAAAAAAATTCAGTCATAAACATTTGGATAGCAGGGCAAATTAGATATTTGAAAAGACAGCCAGCCATTGAGATACACGTAATTCACGACAGAATGGTAACAATTCATAAAGCTGTGAAACATTTAACTGTCAAAATGACATAATAATAAATAAATAAATTCGAAAAGCAAAAAAAGTAAACATACAAGTATTGCAACTGAACTTACCTTTCATGCAACAAAAAATATCCATACAAGTTAACCTCATGGCGCAGCCATTTTGGATTTCGTTTCAAATCAGACAGATGTTTACGGATTTGCGGAAGAATACGAGGAACTAGTAGTTTGCCGGATACAATGTGCAATGACGCGAAAGAATATAGTTCTGTAGAACTTCCTACATTATTCCGTAATAAACAGTACTATTTCCTAATTTTTTCTTTATCTAATTAATTAATTAATAGGGAAATAGTTAAATAATGCCGAATTCATTTTTAATGAAATGTAAAATTTTGCATGTATGGGACGACCACCTTCCGTCCAATATTTCTGAGAATATAAACAAATTTTGGAATCTGAGAGTATCAGTAAATAAATATATAGAATATCGCCTCTCAAACGACCACTTCTGAAAGTGGACCAATAGTTCTGAGATTATAAATAAATATTGATATTAAGCATTATTTCTATAAGACGACCATCTCTATATAAGACCAAAGTTTCTAGAATCTTGGATAGTCATCAGAGATGTATCTTTACTGCGAAATTATCGCACGACTGTAATTCAATATCAATAACAGATCGCGCGATTGAAAAACATTTTATGTCCTGTAATTAGAGGAAAAAATTTTCCTTATGAGGTATTTCTCCCGCTTTCCTAGCGTGCCTTCGTGGTGTAATAGTTCTGCACGCTGGGCCGGTATTTCAGAGGTCCGTGGTTCGATTCACGGCGAAGGCGGTTGCTAATTTTTCATCTCTACGGCTTCCCAAAAAATCCTAATGTCTCTACAGTGGCGCCCGAACTAAAAAGGTGTTGGATGAGGTATATCCACACCCAGGATTTAGTGATTGGATCCCCTTAAAAAAAAGTCGGCCTTTAAAAAGAGAAGTAATATAAGGTATTTCTCCCGCTTTCCTAGCGTGTCTTCGGCCCACCAGCGGCCGAGCGGTAAAGTCGCTGAACCCTGGTAGTGCGATCCGAGGTTCGAATCCCGCGAACGGGCTGGCTGCATGGGTGTTTTCGTGGTTTTCCCCACGTGTAACGTGTATACGAGCCAGTTTCCCTTAGAAAGTCCTCCACGAAGACATCCCTCCCCTCCCCTAGTGTGCTTTGCCAAATGGTTCTTCTGCACACTGGGCCGGTATTCCAGAGGTCCGTCCTTCGATTCCCGGCGAAGGCAGTTGCTAATTTTTCATGTTTCCTGCTTCCAAAAAATACCTAATGTCTCTATACCCAAATTTTAAAAAAAAATTCGTTTCCGTAATTAAATATATCTATATCTAATTTTACCTATATTTTGTAGTAGGGTTTGTAATCTGTAAGTAATTATACATGTAATTTATACATTTTTTATAAAAAAAATATATGTTATTTAGAATTTTGCAAATATTCTAGAAAATGCTAATCCATTGAAAAAAATCTTTTCCATGACTAAATAATTTTTAAAAACGTCAGAAAAAATAGCAGTTAAAATTAATAACAAATAACAAGAATAATCATCAATCATATCAATATTTTTAATGTACAGCATTTAGAAACAACTTAGTAAATACATATGAAAAATAAAATAATGTGCAAGTTTCAGATGTGCAATGTCGAAAAATTAAAACTGGTAAATTTGAGAACAAATATCCTCAGAATTTTTGACAACGGAAGTCCTCCGGACAGTGCAGAATGAATGTCCTCAGGATGTGAAATTGGTGAACTCCTCAGGACATCTGAGAATCAACATCTTCAGGACATCCTGTCATATCCCGGGACATAGCGACTTAAATAAGACATCCTTAGGATGTTAAATTACGATCTCCTCAGGACATCTGAGAATCAACATCCTTAGGACATCCTACGTATATCCCGGGATATTGCGACTTAAATAGGGCATCCTGAGGATGTTTTGTGCTATGGGGGAATGCATGTTGAAAATAAAGTAATTTTCTCTTTTCAATTTCAGCTACACCGAATGGAGAACGAAAAGTGCGGAAGGTGCACATATGAAGTTACAATTTTTTCTTTTATATTTTCGTTTCACACATAGCTCAGTTATAACTCATATATGATCTATCTGCAGGTAATCCAAGACGAGGTGATTTTGGCAGTGCAAAAGACTACTTCTACCGTGACTGGGTTTCATACAAAAATGGATTTGGAGACCTCATGAAAGATTTTTGGCTCGGTAAGTAATACCATAACATAAAAATTAAACAGCTCTTTATTTTCTGGTTTAGAATGCATACTATCTCTCCCTCTTGAGAAAAACGTTTTACAAGCTTCATTCAAGAATGAGAGTGTTTTGATTATTATGAGTGCATTAATTTCTTCCGGCGTAACACATTATCAAAAATATAACATGCTGTTTTATAGTAGTTTGATTATAATTTATAAGACATAAAAATGCAGAAATATTCATATACCTTATAAAACAGTATAGTATTTTGTGGTCTAGGTTTTCTTATGCTATTGTTGAATTTTATGGTTTTTAGAAATCTCCTTAAAAATTAATACTATTGAAATAATCAACAGATCATGTAACAAAATAAACAGCTATAAATAGCTCAAGGATAAACGCAGACATAAAGAAAATTCTCCTTAATACATTGGGAATATCGTTGATCACCAAAATTATTCACAGACCAAAGTCTAAAGCAATAATCATCCGGCTGGTGTCATTAAACTGAATAAACACCCTGCTCCAGCCCAGTCGTATTTATAGGTTTGCCTAGCTCTTCTGAGCCCACCAGCGGCCGAGCGGTAAAAGTCGCTGAACACTGGTAGTTCGGTCCGAGGTTCGAATCCCGGGAACGGGCTGGCTACATGGGTTTTTGTGGTTTTCCCATGTGTAATGTGTATACGAGCCAGTTTCCCTTAGAAAGTCCTCCACGAAGTCATCCCTCCCCTTAGGCAGATAGCCCTAGTGTGCTTTGCCATAATTCAATACACCACCACCTAGCTCTTCTGAAAGTATTGGTGCACCGCTAGGAAGGACAGCTTTCCTCCCTACTTTGTAAATAAACAGCTTAATTCCCCAACAAGCAAGCTTGTAATCACACACCCAGCATAAGAAACAGAAACATCGGAAGTTTGAATATTGTCACGGAAAAGGGAAAACAAATTCATGGACGTGGATATACAACCACGAGCTATAACACTAAGGAATAATTACTACAGATAGCACATAAACTATACACATTCTAAGAATGAGCAGCAAAGGAGACAGAAGCTATATACGCTACCAAAGAAAAATAAATGCTAAGCAATTTACATAAATGTGCAATATCAACATTGAATATATACGCAGATGAAGGCTCCATAATAAGTACACATTAAATAACAAACAGAATATAAGTGTATAGGAATACCTCGCTTAGTACTATTAATTGGCTATTTGTAAGTACCTCACTAAACGAGTAAGCAAAAGCACTAAACGTACTTCACGCCACAGAGTGAAACATTATATCTACATGAAAATTAGTAATTTGTGCCTTTCAAATTTTGTTAAAATAAAAATATTTATGTATTTACCTAAAATTAATGGAAAATAATAAAAGGGCTAAAAGTACAGTATTTAATAGACTTTTATTGCTTGTTTTTAAAATCAAAAACAAAAAAATTACTTATTAATCAGGAAAAAAAATTCTTGCGCAATTTTTTTTTTTGGCGGGGGGTCCCTTCCGTTCATCATGAGAAAAAAATAATTGCATTTTCTAATCTTTGCCTTTTTTCAAGGCTCCTTATTTCATTCAGATCATTTTCTTCGATTAGTTCACATTCTCTTCCAATGGCATTGCATATTCTTGGTCAGTTTTTCAATGTGAAGTTTTTTTCTCCTTGCACATTTTCTTCAGTTTCTCTTTCTTCTTTATAAGCTCTTTCATCTTCTATTGGGATGTGTGAGATTCGTTATCAAGAGACTGAGATTCCGTTCGAATGCAATCTGTGACACTGGCACATCCAGTGACTCAAAGTCTAAATCATGTCCGAATTTCATGACATCTGCTGAGATATTTAAATAACCACTTGGTTATTTCAATATTTCAGTAACATAGATTGCACTATTGGAAAGAGAAATTGAATTCTAACATTATTACAAAGATTAGAAAGTCCACTAGGGTGACTTAGAGCATTATATAATAACAATGTTTTAAAGACTACGATTTTTTTTCCCAATATCTTTTAACGAAGGGACGAAAATAATCTTTAAACTAACTTTCAAACGCTGCTTTAGTAGTCCTACCATTCTTACCAGAATGCCGAAACGCAGGTAATGAGTTTTTAGCACATCCCTTTAATGTGCGAGGGTTTTCAGCGCAATGCAAAAGCATGGGTTTCAATTTGACATCAACAGATGCAATCAATCTCTTCTATAAAAAAGTGTAATTCGATCTCTTGATGCTTTTTAGCCTGGGTGAGGTTGTTTTTTCCTGATAAATAAGTTCTAGAAGCCAGCATCTTTCAGCATAAAACTGTTGGCCCAAGATAAAAATTTGTTCATTAAGATAGCCTTAATCTTCAATCTCTTGTTTTATTTCTTCCGGGAATTTTGACGCTGCTTTTTTGTCTGCACTTGCGCTTTCACCCACAATGCCTACATTACGAATTCTTGAGTGATTTTAAAACGAAAAAAACCACCCACTACTTGTTTGAAAATTTTCATCGGTTTTTGTTTGCAGAGCGTATTTTTTTAAGTGTAGAAAAAAGACTTGATGCTTTTGCATTGAATTTCTAGCTAACTTAAGAAAATTCTTTTTTGGTTATAGTCCTCAGTCTAAAGTGAAAGAAGTACGTATTTCCACGTTTAACCATCAAATGACTTCGTTTCCTTACAAATTTCTTGAAAGCAAAAAAGTTTTCAGCCATTTTATACTTCTTATATTTCTCTTTATCTTTCACAATCTTTCGAACTGAAAACTCATTAATTTGTTTATCTCTTGAAATTTTGGCCTATGATGCACCGTCCTTATAGCTTTTAGCTTTTCTTGTGGTATTAATAATTTTCGCATGTTTGATTTATCCCAACTAGTGTATCAGACTTCCATTTCTCATTCATTAGAAATGGATTTAAGAATGAAATTTAAAAAAAAAATAAAATAGAAAGGAGCAAATCAAGTGGCGTGAATCATATGGAGAGAATGACAAATGATCACGCGATATGGCTATCATAAAAACTGACGGTAAGTTCGCTCCGTGAGTCTGCCACAGGGGCGTAGCTAGAGGGAGGCATCTGTCTCCGGGCGCAGAATCCAAGGGGCGCCAAACTGATGTTACGACATTTTAGAATTAAATGTTTTTCCATCCTTGGCAAGCAGTAGGGGGGCGCGAAATCTTCAGTTGTCCCTGGGCGCTGAAAACCCTAGCTACGACTCTGGTCTGCCACGTCTCTCAATAAACATGCTTGCTCGCATGATGTAGTGAAAATTCGCTGGGGAAATAACAAATAATAAAAAATAGTTCAAATAACGACACTTGGGTAAGCGATAAAGCATTCTTTATTCAGGATGATCAATTCTCTTTATACAGATGCATTGCCCACTTGGCGATGGAAAATAAATACAATCGAATGAAAGAGTAGCTATTTGGACATCATGGAGTTTCCTCCGCAGAAGAAACACAGAAAAAGAAGCTTGGTACAAAATCATGACCCGTTTTAAGTTTAAATGATGTGCGCTGCGCATCTTGTGGTGTGCCAAGTACTAGCATAATTTCAGCGACATCCTCCCCGTCTCCTGAGATGAAGACGTTCATGAGACATAAAGGCTAAATCGTATGAAATTATGTTAAGTTACCTTTACAAACCTCTAGAGTTCTAAATAATAAATTAATTGCATTGATCTCCTTAACATACTACTTGAGGTCTTCAATGTGCAACTGCACACCTTTCCATCTCTTCCTTTATGAATGTCTACAATCTTTCCAAGCCGCCACATATGGCGAGGTAGCTTGTCCTCTTGAATTGAAACGATATCTCCCATCTGGAACTCATACGCGACGTCAACAGGGGATGTATGATGAGCAGTCTTCAACTGGAGTAAATATTCCTTGCGCCATCTGCACCAGAAGTTATTCAGCAAGCCTTGAGAATATCGATACCTATTCAGGATGGCGTTTCTGCTGCAGGTAACGTCGTCAGTAGATCTAGCTAGATCAGGTAGAGAAGTCAATCTTTTACCAACTAAGAAATGAGAAGGAGTTAGAGGAGATGGTTCAAAAGGATTCTTATAGACAAAAGTAGTTGGCCTTTCCCAAAACTCTCCCCACCAAACAGTCTTTTATACTATATGTTTAAACTCGATCCTAATTTTTTCTTATTATTTCCTTGCTTATTATTTTATTTTCCTTATTTAAACCTTTATTTTTCCTTATTTATTCCTTTTATTTTCCTTATTCATTCCTTTTATTTTCCTTATTTAAACTTGATACCTGATGCGCGCTGCGCATGTTCGCGCTGTGCTAAATATTAGCATTATTTCCGCGACACATGATTAATCATCACCGTTCATTTTGGTAGTACATATTTTAGCGGGAACATTTAGGCTGTATTATTTTGGGGCAAAATTTTTCGGAAAGCATTATACTGAATCAATCAGTACTGAGTGAAATTTATTATTCAAATTATTAAACATACTATAGCGGGTCAACACTAAGTAAAACAGCACTATGAAAGATATTCCTGTACAACATTCTGCAGAACTACCTGCACGTAAAAAAAAGTCATTTGCACTTATTCTGTATGGATGAGTGATGCAGAAAAAGCAACAGCTGCAATTATAATCGTGAAACGCCGCTATGTTTCCGTTAGTATTCTCTAAGCATTCGGTTAATGAGGTGCAGATGTTATTTACGTAAAATCTGATGTTCTGATGCTGCGGAAAATCTTGCTGTCCATCATCTTGAGTATAAAGTGTGTTTAAAATTTTAATTATAGCATCCTTGTTGGAGCTGGCATTCGACAAAATATCTGCTGATAATGTCGTAGATCTGAGGGTTTTCATTAGAGGCAATTTGGTAAGCAACATATTTTAAAGAAACTATCTTCTAAGGCTTCAAAAATGTGTTTTTCAGAAACTTGTAAATGTCACCAAGTTTTTAAGAATTCGTCATGTAGCCAGCCAATGTGGTGACAAAAACATTATTAAGAATCTATACCCTCTCGATCCTTAATAGTATCGAACCAATGCAGTTTGACGATTCTAAAGCTGATAAATGGATTCAAAGAGTAGGAAAGAGTAATGACCATCAAAAGTAATGGTCACCAGAAGCTACAGAGGGTGTTTGTTCACACACTTTTGGTAACGATTTTGATTTTCTCCATGAATTTAAATATTAGTTTTAAAATATGAATGTGACTGGCATCAAACTGGAATAAGGTTTGATTTCCGTCTGCAGCATTAAAAATATTCTTTTCTTTAAAATGAAGTTCAAAAATCAACAATGCACCGAAGGCTATGTTTTTGCGCTATCCGAAGAGAAATACTCTTATTAAGTTATTAAAAAAAGAAGTGAAAAACATGGTTTTAATGTAAAATAATGCAAAAATAGTGATATAATTTATGTGAAAGGAAAGAAACGTCAAAATTTACATCTGACTGGAAAAAAGGCAAAAAATGCACACCGAAGAAAAGTGCGTACAGTTTATAAGGTATTTCTCTCACTTTCCTTGCGCCCTTCGTGGTGTAGTGGTTCTGCACTCTAGGCCGGTATTCCAGAGGTCCGTGGTTCGATTCCCGGCGAAGGCGTTTGCTATTTTTCATCTTTCCTGCTTCCAAAAAATATTCCTAATATCTTAATATCTCTACAAGCTAATTAAAACAAAAAGACATGATGTTTATCGTTTAACGCAGAAACATGTTTCTCAGCGTAATGTGACTATGTGCCGATTGCTGTATGAAAATTATTTGGCAGGTGAAAAATAGAAATATATAGTTACAATTGATAATGCTTTGATATATTTATTTGATTCGAATAGAAAAAAGATCGATTTACTACCGAAAACGAGGAGAAAAAGACTTAATATGTTGGTTCAGAGAAAGTTTTTCTAAAGTTTTCATGATTATTACTGGATTCTCTCATAACGGAAAATTTTAAAATAAGAAAAGTAGAGAAAAGTGTCAAAACTAATTCGGATTACTGTCAGAAATATGTTTTAACACCTATTTTTAAGAAGATATTCCATCTCTTGATCCAAACAGTCTTAACTGTGTTACGTTCCATCAGGATAAGGCTCCAAGTCCTAAATCTACTTCTCTATTTTTTGAAAAAATGAGAAATTAATCCGGAATTGAAGCTCTTCCCTTTAAATGCATCCCACCCAAGTCTCTGATGTATCTCCTATGGATTACATTACATGTGCATTTGGACTCTTAAAACAAGTTCTTTATAAGCGGCACTCCAAAACACTGGATGACTCTGGAAGATTGTGAAGGAGGAGTGGAATAAAATTTACCTTGATGTTTAAAAAAAAAAAAAAAAAAAAAAAAAAAAAAAAAGACTTTTATCTTGGAAATCAAAGTGTAATATGATAACTCGACGAAACGGTTATCACATTGGACAGATAAGAAAATAAAATTCTAAGATTTGTTTATATATAAATCACTGTTAAATTGTTACAAAAATGTGTGAACACCCTCTGTATTTAAGAGCTCTGAGCTTATTTGCTTTCATTTTTAGATAGAGGACAGAACGCTATTGAACAAAGATATGAGTTGATTAACCTTAAATCCTATTTTAACCTAAATTTCAACAATGCTATTTTTAAGCAATCAATAAAAAATATTCTTGATTATTTTAACTAATATGTAGTAATGAAATTTAAAAGTAAGCAAATTTTTACGTAATAAAATATTCAAAAGTTGGCATATTATAAATAAATGCAATTCGATCCAATATGGATTACTTGATACCAATTTTTCTAATAGGTAATGATAACACTTTTGCATTGACGAATGAAAGAAGCAATCAAATCAAAATTACGTTAACTGACTGGGAAGGCAACAAGACTTATGCTATTTATGATGAGTTTTGGATAGATGATGAATATCATAAGTACGCTGCTCATGTAATGGGATACAGAGGAACGGCTGGTAAGTAGATGAATTTACTTTTATTGAATTTAAAATTCATTGAAAATTATTATAATGAAAGGAAATAATAAATCGAAGATTTTACTCTGCATTACATATTTTTCTTTAATTGAAATGAAGCTGTATAACAATTGCATGAATTTACAATATTAATTTAAGTTCGTAAAAAATAACCGTTTTTGAGGATTTTAAATTCAAATATTTTAAATTTTAAAGTCTGAATGCTTTAATCGACTTGCTTTTTGAAGTTTTTGAGTTTTTCTTTAAAACTGATAATTTTCTTAATGAAGCTTCTAACGAATTAAATTAGGTCAGGTACAAGTTTTACAGTTAGAAATACCATGAATTTGAAGTTTATACTGAATTACGTTTAGAAAAAACATGATATAAAATAATAAAAGGTAGAGAGGAAGAGGAGAATATAGGCATACGATTCTGTGCGATTCAAAAGTTGCAAACTTGTGAACCAACTGAAGCAGATTAATTTTAGGTATATACTGAAACTAAAGAAAATGCAATGGTTTCTTTTATCTGTACTTGGGAATACAATAATAAAGTTGAATTACTTCAAGATAACAGCAATATATTTTGTGACACAAAAAATTAATATCTTTACGTGATCAAAAGTATAAATAGTTTTCTAAAACTGTTGAATAATAAAATCATGAGTTATTTTGTAATGATACAACAACAAAAATCAAACAAATTGTCAAAAAGTAACTAAATCTCAGTTTAAAAAATCGAATATAAATATGTAAGAGACAAACTATGCAAAATATCTTATGTTATGCTAAATTCTAACTTCACCTTGTCTAACCCTATCAGAAATATCAAAGGCGAAACTGTGGAAATTACTTTCAAATTAAATTCTCTGCTCTCAAGCACATATGGACTCGGCCTAAATAGGAAAAGGAGAATTTGCACTGACGAACCGAAACATTATGACCATCCCCACATTTTTTAGTTTGAGGACACGTCATATTAAGTGGAAATGGTACTTAACTACTGCTGGACAAGATTAAGGAATCATTCTTGCACTTGCTTTCGCGAGTAATGGAAAAGGCTGCTGATATAGGCGAACTTGAAACAGTGCAGATTGCAATGCCTCGAAGACTTGGAATGAGTATCTCCGAGATTGCATGACTGGCAGATTGTTCACGATCATGAATAATAACTTCACCCTCTTGGTACAGCAAAATCGGCGCCAAATAATGGCTCATCTGACAGCCCATTACAATGCAGGTCCAAATGCAAGTGTTTCGGAACATAACCATACCCACACCACATTGTTGAATATGGGATTGTGCAGCAGACCTCCCATTCGTGACCAAGCGTCATTATCAACTGCGGATACAGTGGGCCCGGACACATCGAGTTTGGCCCATGAATAAGTGAAAGTGTCTAGTTGGATGATTCCCGATTTCCCATTCATTACGTTGATGGTTCTGCCTGGGATTGCAAACTTTCGGGTGAACAGTTGCCCCCCCCCTCCGTACAGCAGGTCATATTCAGCCGGTTGTGGCAGTATTATGCTTTCAGGGACGTTTCCATGAGCAGCTATGGGACCCTTAGTTGTGGTAGAATAAACTTTGAAAGCTGCAGAATATTTGAACATAACTGCGGATTAGTTGCACCCTTACATGGCGTCTGTTTTCCCAACTGGAAATCGACCTTTCAGTAGGTCAACGCTCCATGTCACAAGGCTCGATTTGTGTTGTACTGGTTCGTGAAGCTTAAGGATCAATTCCAATTAATGTCCTGGCCACCTAACTCGACAGATTTTAACCCCACAGAGAACATTTGGGATGTCATGGGGGGATAGCTCAGAGCTCAAACACCCCCATGCTGGAATCATGGAGGTAAGAAATGAAGGAGTGGCCAACCGGCACTAGAAGTGAAGCGCTGCTTCGAAGCTTCGGTCACCAGATGGGGTGTTCTTTGTTTACATTCAAAAACTCACTTGACAGTGTTCTGATAGTATTTCGACACACGACGGTTCATGCAAACCGAAAAAGGGACACTTTCGCATGAGAGAAACATTCATAGTGTGATGGATAATAGCAATTTGTATAGTTTAGTGACATTTACGCAAAAATCACATCTTGGTTATTTTTCGATAACGAACAACAGCGATTTTGATTATGAATTTGGTTTATAAAATTCTAAGCTGTTCAACTACTAAAATATAAATTTTAACAAAAATGTTATGCTTAAAGAATGAAAAATATCTCACGGTACCATTAAAAATGTATACGTCTTTCGATACCCTTGATAGAGTATTCACTACTTTTATTTTATGTTCCAAACGCCAAAATGTTTTAAATAAAATAAATTTTTTTCACATCCATATATTATTGTAACATGTACCTTTTAAAATTTTTTAGAGAAGAGGCTTTACTGCTGCTCATTTTAAACTCGTCATATATCTGAAAAACTCATCATTTTATATATCTGAAAAATAATCCCTTTGGGCTTACACGTTTTACTTCTTTGGGTTAATTAAAAATAAAATATATTCAATGCACAGAAATTAAATATTTGCACATGCCGGAAATGAAAAATATGAAATATGTGTGGGTATTTACGCATGTGCTTGCAAAAAGCATGTATCTGCCTTTCACAAAATACATAAATATTCATTAAATTATTTATAAATGTATTTGAAATGAAGAATTTGTTCATTTATAAACAATTGTGAAGAAATCTAATTATTAAATGTATCTAATTTATAATGATTATAAATGTTATCTAAATATATAATAATCTTAATATTGAATTGTGAACATAAATTGAAATCCTGTTGACAAATACTTTATAAAACTATTTAAGCAAGAATTGTTCGTACTGGAAAGCAATCTGTTAAAAGGCATTGTAAAGCAAATGTTATGAGATGCGCACTTAAGAAAGTAATAAAGAGTTTTGGAATATGTGTTGTTGAAATTAATGGTAAAAAAATCTGTTAAGTATAATTAAAAGAATTATTCCCCTTACATTTTATAATAACTCAGTTACAAGTTTTAAATAATACTTTAAAAAAAATCCTTTTTTTATTCCCTTTCAGAAATGTTCAGAGAAAGTTAAGTACTATTTAAAGTATTTCGCTAATTTCTAATAATTCTCTAATTTAAAATGAACCGAATAGAGCATTAATTATAAATTGACTTTTATTTTTCGAATGAAAAGATGCCTCAGAAGCCGAAAAATCATGTCATATTTAAGAAAGTATTTTAGGAAGAAGCTCTATGAATGGAAAAGAAATAATGCATAATTTTAATATTAATAATACAATAAAATTTGATCTTAATTATTGTACCTTAACCGAATGAAATCGAATTACCTTAAATTTTTTTCTAATGTAATTAACGAAAATTTGTGAAAATATTTCGTTCAAATTAAAACCATTCTGAGAAAACTGTTTTCTGTGAAAAGTATAGCATTTAATTCCGTTCAGAATGAAATGTTGTTTAAAAATAGGTTGTTTTCATATACTTAGGACTCTGAAGTGTTGTAGAAAAAGAAAATATATACATTTATATGTATATTTACGACGTAATTACAAAATATTTACATCCGATCGCGTCAAAACCCATTGAACTTAACGGTAAATGACCCAATGTTTTGGTCACCACGTAGGGATCGCCAGTGCTTCAGGGTACGGGAGAAACCTGTTTAGGGCTACTCCATCTTACTTCCTATCTCCATGAGAATATATAGACTTTACGTCACAGCTGCTTAGACATTTCGTACAACTTGTCTCCAGTCAACAGAACTTGTGACATCCATGTCAAGGCGAGTTGCAGCTGTTTTGCAGGCCAAACGTCACTCGACGAGTTATTGAGTAGGCGGTCATAATGTTTTGACTCTTTAGTGTATGCGTGCATCATAAGTACAATCTTCACGTATACTTCACCTGCCTGTGCCCATGCCACAGGAAAGGATATTAAGTAGCTTCAAATCATTCAAAACAAGTTTCTGGGAATTATCACAGGAGATCCTTATTTTATGGTGAATAGTTCTCTCCACCGAAATGAATATGCTTGTGTCTATCTAAACAAACTGAACGACAATTTTCACAGAAAATCTGCATCCTGCCATATCGCAAACCCTGTAGATTAATTATAAAATACCCTTTAAGGATGAAAATATCAGGTCTTACACTTCACATCAAATCAGCAAACTCATTTATTAGAAATTATTAAAAATTTGCTTGTTTTCTCGCCTTCTCCGTGTTTCTTAAAAATTTAATATTTACATTTCAAATTCTGTTTTGCATGAAAACAAATGACTGGCTCTGATACGTCATGAATAACTCAAGATTTCCTATTTCCAAATGATCTGGAATTTCGTGATTTTTATGTATCTGTTTTACGCAATTTACTGAGCATTCCTACTAAAATGCTTTTTGGGAATGAGTCTCTCTCTACTTCTTCACAAACTCCATGCAAAGGTTTATCTGTGCTGTTTGGCAGATAACCCGCCAGGAAAGTGCATAGGACTTTCATTGTTAACTCAATGGTGGCAGATACTATACCAAGCAGATAAAGAATTTTTTTTATTCTCATCAACTGCTCTTATGGAATTGTAAATATTTTTCAACTACTCAGGACTTTATTTTGCATCATCATTTATATATTTTAGAATCATATTTTTGTTTTAAAATTTCATTTTGCGAAATTACTCGAGGGTATTTAAGGTTACTGACATGAGCTACTTCTGTAACTGAAAGCCATTGTAAACAACTAGTTCAAAAAACAATGAGATCATTAGAGAAGAATTTCGTCGTGCAACAACTTCTCAAACAATATCACGTAAGTTCTCTCAGTAGAGAGATTTGAATGAACAACTTATTCGCTCACAGGTTTTGTTTCAAGAAATTCATCAATTATTCGGTGCCATAAAGAATATAAATGAATAAACAAATAAAACTGTTATATAAATAATGAAACCAAATTTGAATTTGCAGCACTTATTCAGAAATGCGATTTGTATAAAACGTTTACCACTCGTTTGGATAACCTCGTCACCTCATATTCATTATTTTTATGTCTGTGCAGGAGACTTTTAGATGCGCTTAATTATCACTTCAAGCATCTAGATCACAAATATAAGATTACATATATTAGAAACTAAATATATAGCAGAAAATACTTCTGATTTCAAACTTTTAAGGCAGAAAACGTAATATAACTTAACAATAATTTTTATGGAAGACCACAGACCATAGTAAGCTTTCATAAAGCAGTTGCATACATAATTTTAAAACAGCCTGAAGATAGTCCTAAGCAGTCAGAAATGTAACACTACTATACACGCCTCAAACTATCCCCAGTCAAAAACATACTATTAAAATTTTGTTAACCTAGCTATAGACTTCTTTAAATAAACCAGCGGCTAGATGATTATTTCTGTCATAGGTAAAACCGTTATGGCGAATACCTACAGCGAGCAAACGCATTATTCTAGTTTCAATGCTGAACATTATATAAGAGTATCCAGAGATTTTATATTCATTTTCAACTGCCACCAGCCTTATAAGAGGACATTTGCACTAATAGAGTTTATATGACTCTCGTCTGCACAGATACAAAAAGGAGTCTTAAGTTTTACATGGATCGGTCATACATATAATGTACATGTTTTTTGTATGTTTTCGTTTGAGTTTTGAGATCTTCGTTTTTCTCTTAAATAAATAGAATTCTTTACCATAGAAATTTCTTTTCCGATTTTTTCTTACAGCACTGTGGTGAAAAATGAGTAAATTTTTAATGTTTTTTTAATAGCGTCAGCTTTCTGTTAACTTCAGCAATAACGAGGACAACGTTCACTGTTCTCAAAATCACATTTAATCTCAAAGCACTTGACTATTCAGAGGAAAGAGGAAGAACCTTTATTATGATCAACAAAAAGACGTTATTAAAATTTTACTTGTATTTTTAAGCCGTTTAACTTGGTCCTTAACATAGACATGTAATTAAGAGTTTGCATTGGTTAATTCCAGTAATCCCAACTAGATTGCAATCGATTAATTGCCTGGTTGGCCAATCTATCCGCTGCGTAACTTTTCACTGAGATAGGCTTGGACTAGCATTCAAAAACGTAGTGCATTATCAATTGAAGTTTAATAAAATCGAAGTTGTAAGCTGTTATCTATTGACGAGCGACACCTTTTAATGCCAATATCCGGCCGCAGTGGATTGGAAAAGTATGTTCGATTTTTCTCTTGTAAGATAGCAGTATGTTAAACTGTAACTTGCTACGAACCTGAAATTTTCCGTAAATAAATTTATGTTTTTATTACTGGTATGAAGAGTACTTTTTCTTGCCACATGAGTCGGTAGAGTTAGTTTTGTCGAAAGCAAATTATCGTCCGGCATCTTAGACGACAACACTTTAATTGTAAACGTGGAAAAGACCTTCACATCAAGGAAACTGGAGAGAATTTCATTCACGAGGATTATAAATGAAATGTATGATGTCATCAACAAAGAAGGTTCCGATGATTTTATCGAAGTGCAGTAAAAATTTTATGTACTACAAAGAAAAAAAAATTTTTTTTTTTTTTGAAGAATTACAAAACTTGGATTACCAGGTAATGAATTAAATGTCAAAACAAAACATAAGAGGATCTCGAAAACGAAAGCAGATCTGTTGAACATTATCTAAGTGATTATTTTAAGGTTAAAATAATTTTTAGGTAAAGAAACCGATTTTGAAAATGCAGCAAATCCTTCTGAGAGTGTAAATATTTCGAAAAATATTAAGTTTAAATTTTCACGAATTGAGTTAAATGTCATAGAAATATTAAAAAAAAGTTACCATTTTGGGAAATATTTAAGAAAACACATGAAAATACCTGCCAGTAACAAGAGTAGGCGTACCGTCAGAACAGAGGCAGTAGAGGGGGCGATAAGGGCCGCATCAAGGTTGCAATTCGCGTTCTCTTACATCGAGCTACCCTTTGGCAGCAATTTTCCATGCTGGAGCCTCAAGACTAGCGCCTTCTTTTGTTTTCTTATTTTGGACTTTCCTACAAGAAAGCTTCTCGTGGTTTGGTAGACGTAACCCTATCTGTAAGGATGCACCTATGAACGCCTTCCTAATCGCTTTGATACATTACTTTTTGCCAACATCAGCATGAACCTTATCATGTTATTTTCGACACCTCAGATTATGTCTATCCGAGTATTTTGTAGATCATAGATTTTGTAGAAGTATGATCAAATGCAACTTAGTATTATAAAGCAAAATTTATGTCATTTATTTCGTCATCAAAAGCAGTTTCAAATAGATAAAACGGTAGATAATCAGACCAGTCTTCACAGAAAATTCTAGCAAGTGTTTTGGGGGCATTTTGGTGTACCCACCAGTATAAACATCTAGCCAAGATTCGAGAGGATATTTGGTTACGTGGTCTGACCGTTTCAACAAGTTTTAAGAAAAGAAGGTAAAAAAATTACTTCTGCTTTGATAAGCTAATTCGAAGTTAATCTCCTGCCCTTGTGGCAGGCCATTCTCGTTTACTGACGTATTGTATTGATAAATTTGCTCAATAAAATTGACCCCAAATAACTTTGTTTTATTCGCCACCAGTACCATTCATTTGGTTTGATAATGAATGGCATTCCACAAATGATCTGGTCACATTTAGCTGCATCAATTGCTGTAATTAATTTTAAATTTTCTTGCAGGTGATTCTTTCTCTGATGTAAACGGGGTTGCGTTTAGTACCAAAGACAAAGACAATGATATTCACGAAGGAAGCTGTGCAGTCTCTTTCAAAGGCGCTTGGTGGTATACAAAATGTCACTCCTCCAACCTGAATGGGTTTTACTTGAAAGGGCCACATGAATCCCATGCTGATGGCGTAGAATGGCATGGATTTAGAGGGCACTACTACTCATTGAAAGATACTGTCATGAAAGTACGTTCCATAGATTATAAAGCAACAGAAAAAGCCCGAACTGATATAACACCACAGTAAAGAAAATCATGCTTAAAGCGCAGATTTGGTAAACTTAAAAGTTGTTTAAAATTTCTATTAATATCCCAGCATTACGGGACGAAATGGGTGATATAATCATTGCTTTTGTTATCATTGTTATTAAAAAGCTCAGAAGACTGTCTTATTTAGGATTTTCCTTTTCAAGTTTTCTCTTGCTGTAATTTATGTAAACAATAAAAAAACTTCATTTCATTTTGCGTTGTTTTTGTAATACAATTCTGTGACTAAGGTAATAAAATAATTTTTCTTTCATTTTTTTCTTGGAGCTGTTGCCCCTGAAAAAAATCATAAAATATGGTGGAGTAGTAGGCGCCCCGACCCATCATTTGTATCTTGGCAGAAGACCGAGCATGGCTTTAACCCTCACATGTGACAGAGGTTCGGGAACTGCGCTTCCAAGACTGGCAAGTAGCCACATCAAGTGCCTCTCTTTCTATGCGGTCAGGAAAATTTTTTATCCCTGCATCAAGGACTACAAACATCAGGCTTCGATCGAACACATCTTGTATTGTTTAGGCTTCTCAAGAGAGGATAAATTTTCCAATCCCCTTCTTACAACAATAGAGAAAAATAAAATCGTTAACGAAATCTAACCTCTCGCACCACATCAATGTATCTTATTTGTTAAATAGCCCAAAAACAAAGACCACGCAAAAAACATCAGATCTACAAGTTATGAATGTCGACTGAAAATTAGACGGGGAGGGCACACTGCAAAATACCACACACACACAAAAGAAAAAAAAAAAGTATGCAGCTAAAATTCTACCTGGATAAAAGCATTATGAATAAGCGAAGAAATGATTAACTGAAAAATACGCGTACAAAATAACTAATATTGAGTATATAGGGCTTAAATATCTTAGGCTTTAATATATTAGTATATAGTGCTTAGTAATATAGGGCTCAAAATCCCTATTTGTCAGAATTTCTAGAATCTAAAAGCGCTATTTTAGACACTTAAGTTCTAGGACACTTAATGTGTAATAAAAATAAAGAACTTACAATCAACTAAATACTAATTATTAAGAGTTTATTGGAATCATCAACAATAATGATACAATCAGCTAAGTAATAATTATTAAGAGTTCATTGGAATCAAAAATAATAATAGAATTAACTAAATAATAATTATTAAGTGTGTGTGATTATGGCAAAGCCTCGAGGGCTATCTGCCTAAGGGAAGGGATGCCTTCGTGGAGGACTTTCTAAGGGAAACTGGCTCGTATACACGTTACACATGGGGAAAACCACGAAAACGCCCATGCTGCCAGCCCGTTCGCGGGATTCGAACCTCGGACCGAACTACCAGTGTTCAGCGGCTTTATCGCTCGGCCGCTGGTGGACCTAATAATTATTAAGAATTTATTGGAATTATAGGTTGAATTTTTTATATAATAAATGTGGATATCATCGACGACCGATGCTGAATTAGAATACCAACGTGGTGACGTCATCCCAGCTTAACGCAGTGCAGAGCAGTTAAGACAAGGCCAGATAACGTCCAGACGTGGAGCGTAGCAGATGCGAGCGGATGGCTTGCTTGTCTTCAAGGGTTGAAGAAGACAGACGGTCTTCTTTGGTGTTTAAGTGCCTTTGATGCTTAAACCAAGCCGATCATATTATTTAAAGCTATCTGTGGATGTTAAAATGATAACGTATTCTAACAACGCCCGTGGAACTAATAGTGTGTGTGAATTGTTCATCATTACATGAATCCTGCAACATTAATCTTTACTTAATTTACCTTTATTACTTTTATCTATTTCTTATTAGTAAAATAAAAGCATTTAAAATGCAATATTCGTGCTCTATTTGAAAGTAAAACCTACATAAGTATACCACAAAAGAAGGTACAGCTAACTTGTAAACTATTTAAAGTTGTTTATCTTGAAGGCATCTCCATTGTCGAAAATACAGTAGCTAACTTCTGTTAAAGATATAGAAATGTTCGCATCGCTTCCAAATATTTTACTGCACCTTAAGTATTACCAGTCACACATCTAGGCAGCAAACTGAAAGCAGGATTTGTTCAATTGCGCAGTCTCGCAAACCAATATAGCTTAGTCTCAGTTCTCCACGAATTGCAACGCACCACATAAGAATGTGTCTATCTATAAAACTTTTGCTACATAGTGGGCAGGTTTCGCTTGGCAGGATACCAATGCGAAACAGTTGCGCCGTTAATCTGTTATATCCAGTAGTTAGCTGCTCTGTCGCCACAGCTGTAGGATAAAGCCAATAAAAGATATTGTCCTAAACGGTCTTCAACCAACTCTTTGTAAAATTTCTACACATTAATGGCAGTTAGAGGCTGAAGTGTGCTTGATAATGCGTGTAGTAATTCAGGGGAGGGGATTTTTGCCTAATTTTTTTTAAATCTAATTTTCTAAAAGTTATTAAAATTTCTACGATTCGCCGTTTCTTATAGTTACATTTTACATTTCGGAACAGTTTAAACTCATTTGAAAATCTAAAGCACAGAAAGTTTTATTCGTAAACGACAAGATTCGATTTAATTTCAAGTTTTGAGGCATTTTAGGTTTTGGAGTGGCCAAAAGCAATATTAATAAGGATCGGTCAAAAAATAAATTAAGATAATGGGACATTGACTTTGTTATGTAGCGAATTTAAATTATTAATATGTGTTTTATATTATTATTATTCTAATATTTTTATTTGTATTCATGTGTATTTTAATCTGGGAAAAAAAAAGTATTCTTAAGCTCTTAAGGTTTTATTTAACTCATTATTCTTGAGTGGGAATTGTAACAAAGGCGAGAGACGGTTGCGAGGACACACATCTGGTTTATGGCCGTTTCACTAACAATGTCGCCCTTTTAGCTCATGCGTGTGAAACGGAAGTTGCTTTCCTGTCGCTTTGTAAGTTTGCAGTTTTATTACTTCAAGACAGTGGGGGTGGCTGGTAATTGGATTTTCGTAAAAGCTTAGTTTCACTTGTTAGTTGGGGGGTCTATTTTTTTTCTCACGTTATGAGTGCAGATGTTTTTCGGATTTCATTGTCAGATTTTCTGGTGTTTGATTCGTCATGGGTGGTGTCATTTTCTCAATTTAGATAACTTAAAATTCCGGGATTGGTAAGATTTAATTTTATGTTTTTTTTGAAAGCCTATGAACTCACAGAGGCGGAGGAGAACCGAGTTTTCCTGGGTGCTTGCACCAGGCTAGAGTTCATTTTTTCTGATTCTGATTTTCAAGAAGAGTAAGAGGAGAAAAAAGTCGGGGGCTTGACCCTTCGGGTCTTGCTTCTCGCGAGCCGCGTGAACAGCCGGCAGGGGGTATGATTTTTCTCTCGGCTTTTAGCTGGCGAGAATTTGCGTTGGTATAAGGCATAGAGCTCAGCAGAAGAATTTCGATTTCTCTTATCCCAAGAATTGTTCGGCAGATTCTCTTGGTGATCCTGACATCCTGATGCGGGTATTCCTGTTTTTTTACCGGCTTTGACTTCCTAATTAGATTTTGTTCCAAAGGTGCTCTACGCTTATGGTGAGTTTCGGGGCTTGCAGAATGAAAGAGACTCGTGTAGGACCCTTCTAAGGTGTTGCATTGCTGTTTATTCTGCCTGTGCCAGCTGCGTCGATTTTTTTTTTCATCATTCCATGCTCTGGAATTTATTTATTGTAAGGACAGCTTCAATGGTGTTGCAACCAAGTCATCTTTAAAATTCGCAAGAACTGTCTGCCTCCATTAACGATGATTTTGTGAATAAAGGACAGCAGGAATAATGTGGTGCTCGAGTAAACTTGGACGCGGGACGATCTGTTGAACTCTTTAAAACTCCGTATTAATCCGTCGATGATGGCATTCTCGATCTCTTCGAATGGTCAACGCAATGAGTAGGACGATCTGTTGAACTATCAGCACTCCATATTAATCAGTCGATGATGGCATAGGAGTTGAATATATGAACTTCACACCCTGTGAGTGAATTTTTTTTTCTGTCTTTTGTATTTAAATTGTAACCGAGTAATGATACTATATTAATATACGGTACAACCGCCTAAATTGTGAGTTATGTAATGTTAAAAAAATTTAGTACACCTAACATGAGTATAAGATTTAAAATGATATATATGTTAATTTACATCTTAAGGTTAATTTGTAGGAGACTGATCAGTTTACCTAGTTATCATATGTTTGAATATTCTAGAAATTAATAAATGTGTTTGATATGTATTTTATGTTTCATTTGTTTAATTTAGTGTAGTTTCTGTGGTGTCTGTCATGTCCCTCCATTTGTTTGAGCCGGGGGGCTTTTAAGAAACATGGAGTTTACTTGAATTTGGAGTTATTGATTTTCCCTTTACATAGGTTACTCACAACGCAAACCTAAAAAGTTAAATTGTACTATACCACTATACGATTGATTGATAGATATGATATACGATTGATTGATTTGATTGATTGATAGATTTACTGTACGAATATTTATAAGAATGTCGAAATGATATATGAATATTATGAAATAGTTTTTGAATGTGAATTATCTGATTTTGATTTTTTTTTTTTTTTTTTTTTTTTTGTAATTTATCTGGCACTACAGTGAGTCAGTTAAGTTTAAGTTATAATGGAATAAAGTATTTAAAATTACAAACATAGTTATTTTTCAATATAACAACTTCCCGTTCAAAGCCATTCATCCTTTGTGGCTTAGTGCGTTAAATTCTTGAGATTTATTACATTACTTCATTTGATATGCCCGTGGAACTAATAGTATTTTCGCACAAATAATTTATAATCTGAAACGTTAACAATACTCACATACAATTTTATAGCTTTAGGATCATAATCGAATTCTCATACAAAAAATTCCCCCATCTAGAAATATTTTTCCTTTTTATTTTTTATGCAAATAATGTTACGAATTGGTTATGTGTCAAAGTTTGAAGCCTGCCGCTGCTTTCTGTAACACGAATTCTATAAGATTCTGTGAATAATATTTCTTAAAAGAAAATTGTAATGGTTAAACGTTTCACAAAATTGTGCACATGAATTCTTATCACTTATTTTATTAGTATAAGAAACCTTTTCCTAAATCGATATTTCTTTTTTGGGATTTCAATCTTCAATTTGTTTACGACACCTAAACTTCGAGAAAACATGTCCTCAAGCTTTAAAATTAAATTAAAATTTTTGTGGTAAGGGAGTCGAATTTTTGTGTTATTTATAGACTGATTTGAACTGTTATTAAGCATGATTATAGGGAATGGAGAACCATATAGAAAATTAGATTCCTAAATTCAACAAAAAAAAATTTCTTAATTTAAAACCGCTGAAACATGGATGTTTACGTCACTTACATTTCTGTTTGTTGATTTCATATAATTTACTTTTCTGTTGTTTTTGTTGAATGTTTACATCATTTACATTTCTGTATTTAGAAGTAAATAACTACGACCAAGGAATGCGAGAATAAAGGCCTCACACTGGACACGTATACGGCATTTGAGCGACAGATGCGGTATTGAAAACGAAAAGTACTCCAAATATCATCATTGAGAATTTTATAACATTTTCTCCATAGAAAGTAATAAAAATAATAAAATAGTGGATTTAAATCTCATATATTTTACGTATGATATTCAGTTGTTAACTGGCATCCGCTATTTAAGAGTTAGCGCTTTCCAGTTGTCTCAGTTTTCTTCATACTAGAGAGCCGGCGAAATGTATGTTTAGAGAGTCAACTGAGTATTAAAAAGATGACGAGGCTCTTTTGTACTCGTAAATTCTTTTAAGATAATCAGACCAAAAAAAAAAGTGGTTATAACGACGCCGTAACTAGAGACGTGGGAGCCTCGGAGAAATGGATGATAATAAGATTCCTTATTGCTTCTCCCAAACTTAAGCATTTTTTTTCTAGTTACGGTTGATTATTTTTATATATAATCAAAGTAATTTTATACATTTTAATCCAATGGAAATTGTTTCTATAAATATCTCGTTGATATATGCTATTGTATGTAATTTTAAATTCCTGTTTAATCTTTTTATGTTGTAGAGACATCAGGATTTTTGGAAGCAGGCGAGATGAAAAATGAGCAATCGCCTTCGCCGGGAATCGAACTACGGACCTCTGGAATACCAGCCCAGCGTGCAGATCCACTACACCACGAAGGCACGCTAGGAAAGCGGGAGAAATACCCTATAATGTCAAAAATAGTGTAATATCCAAAGCTATTTGACACCATACAGAGCATAATATGAAGCATACGCAACAAAATTAGTAATACAATAATTAAGGTAAAATGCTTATAGCAAATTATTATGTATTATTTTTAAATTTGGATTAAAAATTCTGTTTCTCAACTGTTCCTAACTAAACAAATTTATTAATTATTTTAAACAGAGTAATTTTTTGTGTTCGGTTATTTATTCCAAATTGAAAGCTGAAGGGTCCAAACGTCCAAATGTCGAACTACATTTGGACCCCTGGACTTTGGAACTTCCTACCTCCCTGGACTTAAAAAAGCTGTTTAAGAGAAATGGGATAAAATAACTCATAGAATACTATACAAGGCTTTATTGTCTTTGAAATTACGGTGCGGAAAGACAGTGAAGAATAAGAGTTATCAAATAGGAACATTTAAAACACACAAATTTTAGGTAAAATATAAACATTTGTAAATACAATGAAAATCGTCTAAAAAATGTGCTAACAGCCTTTGTATTAGCGCTGATGATCATTCTTTTGCAGACTGTTTTTTTTTTTAATGATTCTAAAGTGGTAGTTGGAATACTAAAACTTCTCTCCGTTATCAGTCTGCGGCGGAGTGATCTGCATTTATTGGGATCCTTGGTCCACCAATTAAGAAAGAGTGTGCAATTTCTTTGCTTGTTTTCTTGGGAGTATCTCTTCATATGTATTGCGTAATGTGCTTAACAGTTGCATTGTGAATGCGTCTATTTTCACTCCCTATGCTTTCTTGTAGATCTGGCATGACTGCTGGAAAGAATTTGTCGACTGCAATTGCTGAAGATGTTAATTTTGCTACTTGGGAAATTGTAGTATTTGACTGTAGTTACGGGATTTATTGTAATGTTGATGTAGTTGTAATCGGAAAGCCTTCCTTTCTTCATCCACTGTCCAACCTTGAATGGAGCTGCTGGCCTGCTGTGTCGAGATTATAAGACCTGGCAAGTGTCTGCCATTATGTGCGATATGTGATAGTACGGCTCCTACGGTGTTATGCAGGGTCAGGTATTGACAGCTACGTAATCTTCGAGCAGTTCATCTTTTACATAGGTAACTGCGTATCGCCAAGTTTTACTACGTCCATATTGTAGTCTCCTACGTAGATTTTTAAAGGAGCGGACCATACTGCATTAAGATTGTTTATGAAATCAGAAGAAGCATCTGTTTCTTTTGAAGGAGGTGAGTAAATGGAGGTATTGAGGTATTGTTGTGAGATGGTTTAATTCCAGGAGTATGTCTACATGATCAAGCTCTGCAATATTGGTGAGTTTGGGTTGTAACAAATGATGGCTGGCCTTGGTGCTTGCCCGGGGCATCTTTGGATGCGCTCATAGATGTTCCACTGCAGAGGAAAGCCAGAAACTTTGCTTTTTTATGCTATCGCTCTTATACTAAGATCACATCTGCTTTTTTTTTTCCTTTCTTTCTTTTTTTTTTTTTTAACTCCAAAGCGGCTTTGTCCCTAAAGGACTATTGTTTCGTTTTGCGAATTTGCGTCGAATTACTATAAACGACGAATCACTTTTCAAACTGTTGCCACCAAATGTTAGAGTCCTGCGTTATACTTAAATTATATTTTAAATAAAGAAAAATCTGCATAAATGTATGTATATTTCTCGCATTGAGATAAAACAACGGTACATAAAGCCATCGAATTTTGAATGGCATAATCCTCCTACAAATATGGGCATGTGGAAGACCAAATTTGAAATTTGGAATTTGTTTTATTATCGATTTCATATTTTGTAAAACTTTAACGAATTTTTGATTACTCAAGGCTTTCAAAACGAGCAATGGCAACATTGTACAGAAAAAAAAAATCTTTTTATCTCAAGTGCGCGGAACTGTGTATCGGAAATTCTAAAGATATGCTCATTTTAAAATTATTTTGCTACATTGAACTGAATTTTATGGTTTAGGTGCAAAGAACGTGATATTTAATAAATAAAGGTAACACACAAAACGTTAAATAAACGGCCCCTTGGACGTAATTTAAAATATGAAACCTCTCAGTTTTTTTAGTATAGTTAATTAATATCTCTAATTTTGGCTAGTTTGTTTTTTTTTAATTTTTTTTAATTTATATATATATATATATATATTACATAGAAACTGTATGTGCTGCAGCTGCCCGCGCCTTTTGCAGGTTTATTTGGATGCATCTAATACAATCAGTTTCAGATTTGTTGCAGTGACAATATTATTACGCTGTCATACGCTGAAACTGCTCGATATTTCCACAGAATGTGGTGCTGGAGATGGAGTACGACGGATGGTCTGCTGTGAGGAAACTGCCAGTCCTGTGATTGTTGGGCTGTTTTGCTCTGCCTTTGTGTATCTCATGTTGACCAGAGTTTTATGAGCAGCATGTTCTATTATTACATGCCTCTTGCGTATGCCCGAATTCTTGACAGTTGTAGCACCTTTTGGTGCCAGAGGACTCTGTAACGCGGTGTGCGTGCCAGCCGATGAGGATATGGCGTTATTGCATGGTTGTGCTGAATGCTGCTGGCTGACGCTTCACGATCTACTTTACATTGTTGTTTTTCTCATCAATCTGTAAAGTACCCTGGTATTAACTTTAGGTATATTCAATTCATCAGAAACTAATTTTCTATGACTCAGTTTTGCTGTCTAGGGTTGAGGTCGTGAATTGTGCACATTGGACAGTCTTTTTGCACGAGTCCTGATGTCTCAATTTTGAGCTTTGTTAACAGCTTCTTTATGTCTTCTGTTGTGTTACATTCCACAACAGAACCTTGTTTCTGAATGGGTCTCACTGTCGTGACTTTGATCCCCAGATATTGAAGCAATATTTCTGAGTTCAGCTGGCAGTTGTTCAAGTGTTTGTTCACCTTTTGGGTAAATCAAGTGCGAGTTCAAACGGCAGTCTTTTGAGCGCCTATGCGTACTGTAGAGATAACTGGACGATTTGGGTTGCTGTATGAGTGTTAATTGCTGTTGGGTTTTCTAATTCTTTTGAGGCCTTTAAGTCTTTTGAGGTTGAAGTAGCAATTGTGACAGCTATGTTGGAATTTTATTTCGCAGCTTCCCACAGCTTTTCCATTGCAGCTTTAATTTCTTCGAGATTATAATGTGAGAGTGAGTTGAATATATAGTACAACACTAATGCTAACATATAATACAAAACTGTAACATCTAAATATACACAAATGCATGACACTTTTCTACACATTGAGACATTCAAACTCCACGCATAAAGCATTTTAATCGTATATACTGTGATATGAACATTTAATACGATACCAATGCTAACAAATAATGTCGCACTAATGCATCTAACACAGATACAAATCACTATTATATATACTGAGATATACATACTCTAATACAATTTTTTGTATATGACTACGATTAACGACTGCGAAAATAAAGTCTGCATAAGGACTTTTTAACCGGGTAAGGGGTTGCATGTATTGCGCAAAATTTCTAAGGCCAAATAGGTCTTACCACACTTTACTTATTAGCTTTTCAATTTCTATATATATATATATTTGGTTCCGCTGACTGACATAAAAAAAAAGAATTGCACAACTGGATGTTATAGCAGCTCCATATACAACATTTAACTTTCTACAGTTAATCTACTTTGAGTTACGCAAGGTACATACATACGTACGTACAGAGGTCACGAAAAAATTCCTTTTGAATCCATTTACAATCCGTTTAGGGCAAACAAATCCTTTATTCTATCCCTACGTACAGACGTCAAGCAAACAAATCGTCCAAGCAGTTTCAGGAATCGTTAAAATGGATAGTTCTGTTGAAATAATGATACCCAAAATTTTTCGTGATTATTATACTCCCTTTTCAAGGAAATAAAAACAATGATTGCTGCAAATATTTTTGAAGTCTATCGCGAAGATAGACTCTTTTTATCGCTTTCGCTTTCATTTCCTTCCTATTATGAAATCAAGACGAAACAACATAACTATCCATTGGATATGTTAGAAGTGAAAGCAATTCAGGAAGTTCTGTGTATTTAGGAAGTGCATTTGATAAAGGGTTTTACATCTGGTTTATCACCACCGATGTTATTTAAAATGAAACTCATAGGATGAATCCTGTTGACTGCTCGTTATTTGCAGTGATGTTTGAGTTTTTAGTAACGCTGAGTTTCAGAATGAAGATATATTTCATTGTGTGGAATGCGGTTCTCGTTGTATGTACCGCATGTAATTTAAAAGATTCAATTGATGCATCTTCCGTTGTTGTCGATCTCCTTAATTCAGCTACAGTGCTACTGAGTGACGCCAGGAAATATGCAGATAAATGTAGCAGGTATCATTTTATCATTCTAGTGTGTATAAAATTACTCTAAATTTATTTATACGAGACAGAAAATTTTAGCAAATATTTTACTATATAAAATTTTAGGTCGGCTTTGTATCAGTACAGAATGAGTTATAAATAATTCAGTCCCAAAAATAATATTCTAGTTTAAATAATAGGGAAGAAAAGTTATTATTTTTTATTCTAACATACTTTAATTAAATTTCTTAATATTAGTATGTGATATGGAATTTTCTAGTAATTCTCCCAAATAGTTTTCTGGGAAAAGACCAGGTGAACATCATAACATCATTGTTCCCATCGGATGAATGTTATTGTCCTCTTTTTGACTATTAACATCATTGTCACCCATCACGTAGATACTATCATTTTCAGTTCAACGTTTCTGTGCAAAAGTGATAAATTTTAATTTAAATCTAGCAGAATAAAAAGTCGTTTTATGTCTAAACAGTTTTTATTATATAGCCAAAAAAGAAGTCGTGTTTTACTTGTAAAAGGATAACTGAGGGGGAAAAGAATCTTATAATCGCTCGAGAATAATTATTACACATGAGAAACAAAGCAAATTCGCTTGGAATTTGCTTTGTTGCCTTGCTACATTGGGAGAACTGAGAAGTAGAAAATCTTGCCGCCTAAGGGTGGTTTCTTTCTAAAATGCTCTCAACTCTGTTTTTCCAATGGAAATTGAAGGCGAATTACCATAAAAATTCAGCTTGTTATAAGTCAAAGTTAAAGGATCTATTATTCGCTATTTTAGCGATATATATAGCGGATCTATAGGATGATTTGAAGTTTGGGCAACGTACAGTTTTCAGTTACGGTTGAGCTTCTACAGCAATATCGAATAACTCGCCGCTCGGCTGAAATTCGTGAATATAAGGTAATTAAATTAAATTAAAATTGTTAAGAGGCAATCCCGTTTTACATATCAAATACTTCTTATATATCAAATGTAAATCCCTTTTATATACCATATCCGGTGCTGATATACACAGTGATTCATATGCAACAGAATCAAAAGATTTTCAACGGATCAATGAATAGAAATTATCGAGAACTTCTGAAAATTGCCTTAAAATGTCGAATATAGAAATATTACATTATGTAATGGAAATTATTACTCATGTAACAATGAATATTTTTAAGATACTGCATAATGTCACTATCAATTTCAGCATGCATATTTCTGATCTCATTATTAATGTGCCTCCCTAAATCTTCGAGTGCCACAGCTGGAAAGAAAATTTCTTTAAAATGAAAAAGAAACAGATGTAGAAACCATCACGTCTTCCGAAGTAGAAAAAAGTAACTGTGCTCTCGCTCAAATGCGAACCAGGAGTTTTCCAGCTGCTTCTTGGATGTGGTAACCACTTACCCAACGAAAACACGAAAGTAGGAATATGATAACTCGTTAGATTTTCCTTCACTTAAAACGTGTCAGGAGAGAGCCACGAGATCTTTTGGATCAGATCCAAAGGGATGACGAATTATCGACCACTACTACTTCCACTACTACTTCGGTCACCGTTGTAAAGATTTTTGAAATAAATGAATATGTAAATATATATATTAGATATGAAATATCACTTAAGCCCTTGCCAGGTTTTAAGCCAAGGATCTTTCAACTATTAAACGGAGGTACTGATCACTTATTCTCAGAAAGCACGCATGAGAGAATAAGACAATTCCTGGCACAGTTATATTAAAGAAAAAAAACTATTATAAAATATTGCAGTTTAAAAATTTCAGATCACAGTCTAACTTCTAAACAAGAGCTTGTAAGGGATTATCGTATTCTCTTGTGCTTGCTCGCACACTGTCGTAGAGATAGCAGATTTCTTACTAAAAGGATCTTCTTTCAATTCTTTCTCTCTCTCTTTCAGTTGTACAGATTCAGACTTAAGTTTAAATAAACCAATGGATTGTGCTGAAATAAAGATGAAGAATAAAACTTTGAAAAGTGGCATTTATAATATTTGGCCTGTAAACAAAATAATCAAGACTTCGGTAAATGTTTATTGTGATATGGAAGATGATAATGGAGGATGGACAGTAAGTAATCTTTATCTTAAATCATATAGAAAATACAAATCATACAAAAAATTCATTACAGTACAAATATTTTTCATTTTTATTTAATGTAATAAATGCAAAATAGTTTTACATTTTCGCTGTTAAAAACAATATTTCACTGTAAAATTAAGCGCATTTAATTATACATCGTGTCCAAGAAATCCCTTACTCGGCCTTTATTTTCGCAACTGTTGCTCGTACACATATGCTTACAGTTACAAAAAGTTTTTAAATGGCATAAAGATTTTGTTTTTTGGTATTTTAAATTTAAAGACATCAGTTTTGTAAATATTATGAAATCTAACTTTTTATACGTTTCTCCGTTCGCTATGTTTTTAATTATGAAAATTCTGTAATCGTTATGAAGAATAAAATGCAAAAACATTTTTTCCAAATGACAAAAATTAACCGAGATACAGTGCTTAAATTGCGCCGGAGCCCAGCGGAGCTGCTCAATTTTTAAGATAAATTACAATTCTAGCCGGAGCGCACCGGAACCCTAAATAAGATAAGCTCCGGTATTTCTTTTTATAAAACTGAGCCACAATTTCAAGGAAAAAAATAGAATTCCTAACATTTTAGTTTAAAAATTAGCAGATCTTGCAATACTCTATTTTCTAGAAATACGAGCTCATGAGAACATGAGACGTTGAAGTAAAGTTCCCTCACTCACATGCGGAAACCTTTCCCTTTAAGAAGGGCAATATATTTGGGGATGTTTGTTTAGAAACGCGTAAATTTCTCGCCATGCCATTGTATCTAGTGTATTGTTATCGATGATTAGTTATCCTCGCAGGAAGGAAAATTTATGTTCTTAAATGTGCGTTAAGTGATAGCGAGTACAATAAGAGTGAAATAAGATAAATTGCTCAAGCACATCCTATAACATCGTCTTCCCAGAGTATCCACTAATGTAACCAAATACAGGGGCGAAAAACGTAACCAGCAACTTTACATTCATCCTTAGGAGCCAGATTCAGGACTCATTTTACCCCTGACAAACTGGCTCTAATTATATCAGCAAAGAGCCGCGATCAAAGAAAACGTTCTCTTTCACCAAGATTCCCCTCATTTTTTGTTTCCACCCGCTCATACCCTCACGCCCTCATTCTGTTTCGTTCTCTTTTTAGCATTATCTGAATTTTCATAAGCTATATTTTATTTTAGGTATATTTAATTTTTGTGATAATAAAAGAACTTCCCCCCCCCTACGATCAGAGGCTAAATTGCGCCGAAGCTCACAGGATCCCAGCTCCGATGCTTCTTAGTTTTTGTAATAAATTATAATTCTAGCCGGAGCGCACCGGAGCCCTAAATAAGAAGGTTGCGGCGCTTCTTTTATGTAATTGAATAACAATTTCAGTAGAAATTTGATCTCGAAAATTTTATTTTTAACAATAAAATTATATTAAAAATAACTTATTAAATTTCAATTTATCTGTTTACATTTAATTTAATTTTAATTATTTAATAATTATGATTAAATAACAACTTATAAACATTCATTAAATAGCTATTAATTAATTTGATAATAATCAACTGTTTAATTTAAAAATTATTAATGAGTTTAATAGTAATTTTATTTATTTATTTACTCTTGTTCCTCTTTCCTGATGGTCTTCCACAGGGCTCCGGCACTTCTTATTTTAGAAATTAAGCGCTGCCGAGATATTTACTTTCATAATCAGCAATGTCTGAAGTCATATTCAATTCGCATTAAGGGCTCGTCTAGTATATAAATTAGAATAAATCGAGGCTGATATTTCCCCTCTTAAATGCTGCTTTGTGGTTTACTAGAGTCTTAATTTATAATTTTATTGCATTTGATATGCCAAAATATATTACTCAAAAATAATTTACTAATTCAAATGCGTTATTAATATTCCAGTGAAGTTTTATTATTTTAGAATTATAATCATACAAAAAAAATCGTACAGAAAATACAAATCATACAAAAAATACATTATAGTACAAATATTTTCCATTTTAATTGATGTAAATACAGTTATGAATTGGGCACGTGCAGATAATGAAATCTACCGGTGCTTTCTAGACCATATGTTCTATAAGATTCTGTGAATAAGATCTTTACATTGAAAAAATTTATATTGAAGAATATTTTTTCCAAATCTTAATAGAAATACTTGTCACATAATCTTTTAACACCAGAAACCTTCTTCGATATACTTTATTTTTAGTCGTAAATAGAAATATATCGCTCTTAAATTTATGTACGGCCCTAAATATGATTCCCGATCTTATCGTGGAATGTCTCGGTCGATTTTTGTCGCCCGGAAATCACACTTGTGTTTTATTCTTTGGAATGATAATAAAATTTTTCTAAACGTAAGTGTAGTGACCGGAGGAAAATTTCATATTTTGTATAAAACTAACATTTTTATGTTTAAAATAAGAAAAAATTAATCTTTGTTCCATTTAAAACAGTTTTGTAACTGGATGTATATATTTACGACCAACATTTGAGAAAACAAAAGGCCAGTTGAGGATTTTTGGGGACGTGGTGAATAACTGCACTTCTACAACTTTCCATGATACGACGAAGAATCCAGCATCCTTCCAAAAAAAAAAGTCTAATTAAACTTTAGTGATACACACAAATCCTAACAGTTAAGTTTATTAAAATAATAATACTTAAAAAACACTATTTACCACTATTTGCGGAGTTTCAGTAACTTAAATGTTTAAATAAGTGCAAAATACTGTCTAACGTACAACAATTATGCAGTCAACTGCCGTTTACCCGAGCCCTGTCAGCAAATTTAAATCTGTGTAATTATGGAACGATGAAAAAACTACTATCAACGTAAAACAAAACTGTTTCAGAGGGAGAAAAAGTCTTAGCGTTTGGGGCTGCATTTATCAGTATATAATTTAACTACACATAACTAGGAATATATAAATATTTTCAGAATATTCATTAAAAGTAAACTGCTCAGTCTCATACAGGAATCAAGTATACAGCTATTTATCTTTTGTTTTATTCATTCATATTGAAATATAATAGTAAAGTGAGAACTAAAATAAAAATGGCTGGAAGAAACAGAAAAAGTGAAAAAGAGAAAGTGCGCTCGCGGTTTGTAGACAAAAAATAGAATTTTAAAATACTGTTTTAATTTACGTAACACAAAGATCTTATTAACCAGATTCAAACGCTTAAAAGTACAATTGAACTGTCAATAATATTTTTCTGTTAATTACCATACTGGTTATTTCCTTTTCCTGTGTTCTTTTAATCATTCTCTTATGAGCCATGATTATAAGCTAACTATGGACGTCGTTTCTGATATTATACTAGTTAATCAGAAGTTTAACTATAGTTTTATCACTATTTACAGAACAACAAAGGTATATCAAGTTGGCAAGAAAATAATTTGTTTTTTAGTATGAAATAAAACTGAGTATTTTCCCAAACAAAAAATTAACTTAATCAGTTAAATATCTTCCGTTCTGTCCGATGCCATCCTTCTGGTTACTTCATGATTCCGCGCTTATAGAACTTCTGGTCTTTATCAGCAAAAAACTCAATAAATTACGTCTTGAGTTCATCGTTATTACTGCATTTTTTAACACCTAAGAAGTTGTGTAAACTTCGAAATAAATTATATTCCGATGATGTAAGGTCGGAGCTATTTGGGTGATGCGACATCACTTCTCAATCAAGCTCCTTTGTCGTGATGGAACACGATTCATTTGCAGTTTGCCAATTCTGTCGCTTTCTCTTTTATTGCTTCATTCTGTTTCATAAGTTATTGGAAGTAAACATCTTATTTTATCGTTTGGTTGCTTGGAAGCAGCTCAAAATATGCAACAAATTTGTTATCCTACCGAACTGACAGCATGATGTTTTTCTGATTCTTTCGATATGATTTGGGTGCTGATTCTTCATGCTTGAACAATGATTTTTTTTTTCCTGATCAATATTATTGTAGACGATCCATTTCGCATCACCAGGGATAATTCGTTAAAAAAAAAAAGTCGATTGCATTAAGTTCGAAATCCGTATCGCATATATTGATTCGTTGTATCAAGACAGTTTCTTTCAATTCATGGGAAAGCCAAATATCGAGCTTCTTAAAGAGTCTAGGACATGCTATGTGATTTTCAGTCGTTCTGTAGTTTACGTTTAACCATTTTGCAATAGCTCGCACAGTTATATGACGATTTGATTAAATTATTTCTTTAACTTTGTCGTCATCAACTTCAGAAAGTCGTCCAGAACGCTGTTTATCTTCAAACAAACAATCTCTAGAACGAAAATTTTGAAACCAATTCTGACACATGCGTTCCTTTAAGCAATCAACTCAATAAACTTCACAACTTCAGCCTCAGCCGCTTTCGTCAAAAAAAAATTATTTTTGAGGTTCATGTTAAAATTAACCGTAAACAACAGTTGTAAACAAAAATACAGGGAATTTATTTCTGTAGTAACTTAAAGGTGCCAGCTGCCAAATCGCAAAAGAAATGGCAAATTATAAGATTGACATAGAAATAAGAAAACGAACATAACGCTATATATTTGTGCAAACCGAAATTACTTGCCAATCCAATAATTACAACGTACCATATTCTTCTTCTCTTAAGAAGATTTATTTGAAAAAAATGCAAATATAAAACCGACTCACCAAATCCACAGGCCGGCTAGTCAGCCAGTTTCTTACCTCAGGCAGAACAAATCACAAATTCGTACATTGCTTAAACTCAAATTGATTTACATTCTAAACAGAGCTGACAGAGGAAGAAGGTACAGAAAAAAATAAGCATAAAAAACACTGTGTTAGCTAAAAGAAATTTTATAATACAATGCTCTTAATTTGTTCTTTTAAAAAATAATAACAGTAAGCGTATATGTGTTAATGCATGTTCAAAAAAAGTAATTTTTCTTTTAAATTTTAGCGAAACCGAAGCTAGAACAAAAAGGCGGAAGTTGCACAGATTAAAATTACAAATTTTTCTTTTATGTTTCTATTTCGCACACAGCTCAGTTATAACTCACGCATAATCTATCTGCAGGTAATCCAAAGACGGGGTGATTTTGACAGTGCAAAAGACTACTTCTACCGTGACTGGGTTTCATACAAAAATGGATTTGGAGACCTCACGAAAGATTTTTGGCTCGGTAAGTAATACTATCACATAAAAATTAAACAAGTCATTATTTTTTGGTTTAGAATGCTTTCTATCTCTTCCCCTTGAGAATAAATTTTTAGAATCTCCATTCGAGAATATGAGTATTTTGATTATGAGTGCATTAATTTCTTCCGACGGAATACATGATTAAGGATATAATATGCTGTTTTACAGCTGTTTGTTTATAATTTACAAGACAGAAAAATACTGAAATATTGCTATACCTTATAAGAATTAGTATGGGCGTATTTTAAAATCTAAAAATTTTTTATGCCGTTGTTGCGCGTTATGGTGTTTAGACATGTCCTTAGTAACTAATATTATTGAACTAATCAACAGGTCATGCAACAAAATAAACGGGTATAAACAGTTCAAGGAGAAAAGGAGAGATAAAGAAAAATCTCCTTAATACATGGGAATATCGCAGATCACCAAAAATTATTCATAGAGCAAAGTCTAAAGTAATAATCATCCAGCTGGTATTCAACATACTGAATAACTGAACTAGCTCCTGGCTGTAATCTAGCCATATTTATCAGGGCTAAAGAAAGAGAAGGGCTGGGTCATCCGTTTGAGAATAACGATGCCGACACGAACCCTCTTGGGGAGCATACCCGATGTTATGTGACGTCACTGGGTTCGTCCAAGGCCAACTAGATATCTACAGGCCTGCTCCAATCTGATGATCACATGATCTGACGTCATAATCTTAGTCCTTCAATTTTGTAAGTTGACATTGCTTCGCCGTAGGACTAGTGCTAGTGAGATAATTGTTTACAAGTGTTTTTTCTTCTGAAAAATTTTGTATTTTACCGGAAAGTAAAATATTATATTGTGAATTCGAATTTATAAGAAAAAGTGTGTTTTAGAATGCCAAGAAAGTGTGTAGTGTACCTAAATGCCGATCAAATTACGATAGCAGTAATGAACATGTGTCGACTTTCAAATTTCCTTCGTATCCTGTACTCTCTCAGAAATGGATAAAAAATATTAATTGCAAAGATTTTGTAGCTGGCAAACACAGTAGTGTATGCATTAAGCATTTTGAAGAAAAAATTTGTCGTTCGAGAAGATAAAGCTGTTCGTGATGATGGAACGGCATTAGTAATGGTTTTGCAAGAAAAATGGATCTTCCCTCTTCATGGATATTCATAACCAAAGGTAAGATCTTTTGGCTATCGAAATTAGAATTTTTAAACTGTTCAAAAGTGCTTGTATCTTTAAAAAATATTGGACGATTTAAATGTAAGAGTTTTTTTCAATGAAAATGAAATTCCCATTGAAAAGTTCAAATGGATATTTGGAGAAGAAAAACTATGTGATAAATGGTTTAAACTTGAGACAGTGATTAGCCATTTGGATGGTTTTTTCTGCTTCTGATATTCATGATGACTGCAATTTAAATTTAGATAAAATATCAGAACTACTGTTGAAATGTGCAGAAACAGAAAATAATCCACATTCTGAGAAATTTAAGTTTTTGTATGAACAGATTCAATTAATGCAAATGAAACAGCATTCGTATAGTGCAGAATTCTTTGCCTGGTCTTGTTATATATTTTATTGTAATCCAAACAGCTACAATATTATACGTAACAGTAAGTATTTTATATTGCCTCATCCGTCATACTTAAGGAAAGTTATCTCTGAAAATTGGCCGAGCAGATTCTGGATTACAAACAAGTCACTGGATGTATTTGAAAAAAAAAAAAATGTGAAATGTGAAATTTTAAATGATTCTGAAAAAATTGTCAATTTATTATTAGATGTGATATATATAAAACCACAAGTTTCGTATAAAAGTGGTCGTGTTTTAGGTTTTTCGGATAATTCGCAGATGGAGGCCACAACTCTGCAAACATTTATGATAAGCTATATTAGCAAAAAACAGAGATATTGTAGCAATGTTTCCCGTAAAAAAACTTATCATCACATCAATTATTAATATTTACAAAACAAGTAATTGACCATGTACAGTCTTGTGGCTATCGAATCATAACTCTAATATAAGACAATAATAGAATTAACAGAAATATGTTCAAAATGCTTTGTGGTGGGTGCATTAAAATCCTCATTTATAAACCCTACCATGCATAATCTTCCTATATTTACATTATTTGATACAGTTCATTGGTAAAAGTTTACAATTGGGTGCCCCTCGTTTATTGGCGATTCTTTCTTGACGCCAAGATCGGCGCCAGGAAGTCACAATTTCAAGATGGCCGCTACACAAAACCAAAATAAGAAGTCGAAGAATTGCATAAGATCTGTGTCCATGTACACATCAATCTGTTTTTACTTAAAAAAACATCCTAGAATTGCACAAACTAGGCATTGCGCCTTAAATATGTCCATGTACACATCATCAATCTATTTTCATTTAAATAAAATCGGGAAGCTAAAACAAATTTAAAACTATTGTGGTAACCAGAAGTGAGGTTTCATCTCCAAAATTTTTTAAAAAATGTCGCCAATCGAAGGGGCACCCAATTCTACACTAAAGCCAGTTCATTTATCGAAATCTATACGAAACAACTGGTTCAATCAGAACGATTCAAACCAAACATTTTTTATACCGTCATTTGAAAACTCAGATATTGTTTACAATTCCAGTGTTCTACATTTAAAAAAAAATGTATAAAATAGAAAAAAAAACGATAATATTAAAATGGCTCCAACTTTTAGTTTTATTTCCGTCTTCTATAGAGGAACAGAATGTAAGTACTGCTATTAAACTTTTTGATGAAAAGACTTTAGCTGCTCTGCAAATTGAATCGCAGAATAATAGAACTCGGTATGGAAAAGATGTCTTAAGAACTAAACATTTTATTGATGTAATTTTAAAGTGGTAGAAAATTGTGAATGTTAAACACTCTATAAAGGCCTTACAGTTTCGAGATGTATTTATGCAGCCTATAAAGGACAACAGAAGATAAAAGCTTAGAATGTTTATCACAGTTTTGTTCGTGGCTTATATCATGGAACGATTTTTGCCCAACAACAAAAAAATTGTAAGTCACAAATTGGGGAAACTGTCAAAAGAAGCCCAAGTTGCTCTTCTCCATACAACAGCAACATTGAATGAACTTTCAAAGTATTTGTTAAAAGAATTTTAAATTACCTTTTATTCCTTCAGGAAAATTTCAGACAGATAACCTTGAGGGACGTTTTGGTCAATTTCAACAAATGAGTGGCTGTAATTATAATGTATCCTTACAGCAGATTATAGAGTCGGAAAGAAAACTAAAATTAATTAGTTTGCTTAAAATGCAATTTCTTCTGAGAAAGGTTCATTTATTTTACAACATTTTTCTTGTAATGATATTGAAGATTTTAATGATGATCAACTTATTGATAAGGAATTTGGTTGATGTTTTGCATCAATCCAATGATGTTAATGTTACAGAAAAAGATACAATGTGTCTAATTTACATTTCTGGATATGTTTGTAGATCTGTATTGAAGCATATAAATTGTAATCTCTCCAGGAAAAAATTAATTCTTGACAAAGAAATGATAGTTGAATATTGGGAAGATTTTGCGTACTTAGCTGCTATTGATCGAGGTGGTTTATTTTGGCCAACAGAATTCGTGTGCTTTTCATTAATACCTCTGCATTTAAAATATTTTCAATCCTAATATCTGAAATGTATGAGAAATTATATATTTCATCAAAAAAATCAACATTCTATATTAATAAGTCTCATCACAGAGAAAGTTGAAAACAGGATTATTTGGAATGATAGTATTTGTGAATGTGGCAAATCATTGCATGATTTGTTGAAAAGTTGTGTCCACATGCATTTCCAATATATTGCAGAATATTTACTGTAAGGTTAAAAATAACAATTTAAAGGAAACCAATGACCAAAAAAGAAAAATGGGTAAATTAAATAATAATTCTGGAATTTAGGTGAATTTTTTATGTAATTTTAAAGTTAAATAATTAGTATTTGCAAACTGTGCATAACTGAGCCATAGAAACTTGCTGCTGCCTACTAGTGGCTGAGTGGTAAAATAGCTGAAAACTGATAGTTTGGTCTGGAGTTCCAATCTCGGCGAACGGGCTGGCTGATAATTACCTTATACGGGCAAATAGAATTGATAATTACCTTATATGATCAAATAGAATCAAAAGTTAATTAAGTTTGAAAATATTGACAAGTGTGATAGAAGCTGATGAACCAACAAAAAGGAAGATGTTAATTTTAAAAGTGAAATAAAAACTTGGGAAATATGGGATGATAATGCGATAGCAAGAAATCTAATGAATTGGACTGTGACAGCTCCATAAGCGTTAAAATATGTGAATGAACAGAATACAAAGAAATGATGGGAGAAAATAAAAAATGAAATGGCGGCAAAAACAGAAGATATTCATATCAAATGTAGAAAGAATTAGCTCAACTGAAAATGAGTCAAAACGAATGTGTAGATGCTTACATGAATACAGCTGTAATTCTGAAAAGTAAAAGCATTCAAGTTGGGATGAAATAAGAGATAAAAAATTAATTTACCTCATACTAGAAGGACGTTAAAGTTGATTGTTGTTAAAATTATCAAAAGTAATAAAGAGAAAGATATAGCTTCAATTATACAAGCTTTAAGATAAACAAATTGTAGATCATGATTTAAAAGCAATTTTTACCAAAACTAAAGCAGAAGAAAAGACGAGCGAGAACAATGAAAAAAGGGTTGATCTTTACATTATGGTAACTTGGTGATTTTTTGGCGAAAATTTGGCAACCAACTCTCCTACAGCAACCCTCTGTTTTTTTTCCCCCGCCGCCATTTTGTCTTCACGAAGTAAAGACATGTTTCTTTTCTTTTTATCTACTGAACACTTCTTCCAACAATCTACTAGCCGAATTACACTTATGCTAGAAATTTTATCAAACAAAACTGCTTAATCATGACAAATATTCACTGCAAAATTGGGAAAAAGTGCACAATACAATACTCCTTATGCGTTTTTCAAAATAACACATA